TTGATGTATCTCTTTTTAAGGAAAAGGTAAAGAAGAATCATGTAAACAAAGAAGACATTCAGAGAGATGACCCCTAAGAATTTCACAAAGTGATCCAGTCGAAATCCAGAATGAATGCAGCTTAATGGAGCAAACTGCAAAATATTTCCTTCAAACAAGTTGAGACATTTTTCCATAGAGATCAGAGCTACCGGCCATCGAACTCTCGCCAACGCCGAGAAGATACCAGCAATAACTTGGTAAAATCCAATCACTATTTTAAAGCAGGACATGATGATATCTGCAATGGTTCGATCATTCCCAGTCTGCTTTGAGTCTCCCCAAAGAACCATCAGGAACACAGCAACAAAGAGTACAACCACCAAGATGGATGAGATTATAGTCACGGTTAACCGTGGACATTTAAGGCAGGTGTTAAATCGGAAGTAAAAGTTGTTAGTACAAGAGGCACACAAGACCCCTTTGTATCCTTTTTGGCATTCTGAGTTAATCCCTCCCTTGCAGGAATTGGCATGAGGACATTTTATTGGTTTTGGTAGTGAAGCCGTGAACGTGGAAAAGTTGTTGTTGTATTCAGGCCCTAAAGAGTGGATGTTCTTAACAAAGCTCTCATAACGCTCCTTCAGAGTTTGGTCAGACCATTTCCAGAAGTAATCAGGCGCAAGTATTGCTGTATCGTTCTCACAAACAAAACCATAGGCGGGACAAGCTGAACAGGCTCCAAAACGATCCAAGCGATATAAATTGCGCAGGCATCTGCATGCACGATAACCAGCGGTCTCATTCGATAGAGTTCCTGATGAAAGAAAATGAATACATTTTAAAACTATAAGTGTGAACAAATCTGAGTCAATTACATTTAACAATTAGATTATGAGGTCGAGAATTCAATCGTAATAGTTGACTAGGGCGAATTGCGAGTCACCTATTACCCATAGAAATCGACAGTTAATAGACTAGTGTAAGAGACTAGTCTAGTGTGCCGTCTCGTGTAAGTCTACAAGTCCTTTAAGCTTAACTAGTAAATTATCTAAATCCTCTTCACTGTCACATCGTAAATATAACGAAGCGGCGGCCATTTTGTTAACAACCGGACACTGACGGGTTACTCACTATCTACTACAGTATTGATTTTGAGTAGAATAGCCATTAAGTGAACGGCATTCGTGGTAGGACGGTATTTGATTTATTCTAAAGCAAAATGGCATCCTATGTGTATAACATTTGGGTCAATCACAAATTACAGTATAGTGAACCGATGATGACCACTCGAAGAACTTACAGAAACACATTCCCTACCATATGGGCATGCCAGGCAGCTAACGGCACTTGTAGCAGGACGATCTTTTTCGGCGACAAAAGTACCATTACTGCATCGTTTGCAGTCAACTTGCCCCATTTGGTCTTGAT